TTCTACTGATGATGTGAGGGCGGTGATCCCACCTGAGTTGAGGGGTCCATTAGATGTTTGGATGGCGATGGTCCCTCTGATCTGTTATGTGACCGTCGAGTGGCACTCCACTGATCGCGTGCTCCGGCAGTTTGGTTGTTTTCAACCAATTCTGGAAGCATCTCGCAATATGGACGAGTTGCATAGCTTAGATAGACGCGGCAAGACAGATACAGATTGGCTGGTGAGGCATCATGGGTGGGTCGTGTTGTGGGAGGATCGACATCGGCGCCTTCTACGTAGAGAGCCTATTTTTACTGACTTCTTGATGTATGCTGAGGATTATTATGAGTGGTTCAACAGTAACGGGAAACCGTTTCTACTTCCCGAGGATGCACGAGGGCAGACATTTCCACGACGTCGACAGAGACGTTCACCGACACAGCACCATCGTCCCCCGACTCGTGGACGGAGAGCAGGTGCTTCCGGTTCATCCTTAGCTGCACAAGCAGGACCTTCCCAGCAGCCACCACAGCCATATATGATGCCGCAGCCATATATGATGCCGCCATCGCCTTTCCATTACCAGATGCCGCCGCCTTCACCTGGTTTTATGACCCCGCCACCGCCACCGTCACAGATGACCAATTCTGGAGGCTATTATGGGTCTATGTTTGCAGATCTAACATGGGGTTCATATATTGGATATTTGGCGGGTTTAGCCTCATCACCCATGGCCGCAACACAGACACCGCCCCCTGTACAGTTTTCACACTCAGCGATGTCTGGGTTTTATGAGTTTTCCCAGTTTTCGCAGGCCGGTGGGATAGTCAGTCATACACCTCCAGGGTCCTTATTCTACAGAGGTGCTTCATCGTCATCAGCTCCTCATCAACCTAATGTACCTGCGCAAGACGACAACGACGACGATGACGATGGTGATGATGATGACAGTGAGGAGTCAGAACCAGTGATACGAAGAAATCCTCCTCGAGACCGACAGCCACCGCCCTGCGGAACACATTCGCGTTGCAGGCATCGATAGATTTTGTTTTTTATTATTTTTATTTACTTTATTTGTTAAATTGTAATTTTTTATTATTTCTCATTTAATACTTACTTTATTTTGTTAAATTTGTTGGACTTTTTAATGTATTTCAGTTTGTTTTGTTTATTATCATTTAATATCAGTTATTGTAATTTGGTTATCATTTACCATTTAATACTTATTGTTATTAGTTTGTTAAAATTTAATGATTGTGTTTGTTTTTTTAATCTTCATCGGTGATTATCAAATGACATTAACTTGAAGTAAATGAAAATTAAAGTACAAGAATTATTATTTGATAATAAAATACATCATTTCCTCATCAATTGTTACTTGATGACAATAGAAGTGGACATGTTTTTCTAGTGTGTCCTGGGTTTTTACAATGCCCACATCTTCTGTCTTGTCTAGATCTTTCTCTAATATCCATATCCCAATGAATTCGATTAGATTTTGGACGACCACGCTCCCTCAATAAACTCGGATTTGGTACAGTCGGAAGCCAATCTTGAACCTCATCAGGGTCTTTGTCATTACCTATGGGGGGAAACTCAAATTCGTATACCTTAAAAACTTCAGATAGTAGGTATATGGGATCCACAAAATGGATATAGTTTTGACGTGTATGCGAGCAAGCTGCTATCACATGAGAGCATGGATACTTTAGAACTTTGAAAAGCTCGCAGTCGCACGTTCTGTCCCTTATATTTACTCTTAACGACACATCATCAATCCCTTGAAGAGGTCGCGGCAACTCTGTGACATGAAACATTTCATTCCTTCTAGAGAAGCTTGTTACAGACATTCCATTTGATGCAACAATTTTTTTCTGTAGATTTGCAACTAATCTAGGGTGATAGACATGCTTCGCAAAAAGAGCCCCCAAACAAAAATATGTAGTCTTTACCAAAGCTGCTACTGGTAAGTGACGTGCACCCTTCAAGGTTGAATTGATTGCCTCTGCCAAGTTGGTCGTCATGTGTCCATATCGATATCCACCATCATATGCTTTCGTCCACATTTCTTTATCGATGAGGCTGATGTAATCATATCCTTCCTCGTTCTTCGCTCGTAACTCTTAAAATATTGATTCAAACTTTCGAGGAAGTAGTTCGTAACCTGATCAAAAAATGTATAACTTACTAACTTGCTATCTTTGCAAAATTAAAACGATCGAAAGAAAATAAACTTGCTAAGTTTCACTTACCCATGCGCACAATTAATTGACGCTCATCATTCTTCTTGTACCTTCCATGGTAGTTCGCGGCAATGTGTCGAAGACAATACCTATGTTGGACAAAGGGTGGTTGCCACATTGGACCCAAAGACTCCATTACTGCTTTGATCCCAACTCCGCGATCTGAAATGACACAGATGTTTTCCCTCGTGATAACATGTGCCCGTAAATTTCGGAGGAAAAAAGCCCAAGAAGATGTATCTTCTCCTTCGACAAGAGCAAAAGCAACTGGAAGAATGTTGCGATTGCCATCTTGGACAACTGCCAATAATAAAACTTGCTTGTATTTTCCATATAAGAAAGTCTCGTCGATCTGTACCACATTGCAGTATTTGACAACATTAACGCACTGTGGGTAACTCCAAAAAACCCGGTAGAATTGACATCGATCGCGAAGAACTCGATCATTATGGTATGCATAGGAGGTTTCGAAGTCCACAATTGTCCCAGGATTCAACATCCACACCAGCCTAAACCAACCTGGAAGTTCGTTGTAAGATGCATCCCATTCGCCATGAAGTTTGACAATGGCATTTTGTTTTGCCAACCAAGCTTTTTTATAAGAGACAGTGTACCCATACTGCGATTGTATATCTGAAATCAACACTGCAACAGCTATATGAGAGCTTGCTTTGACCATGGGCATGATGGCTTGGCATATCACTTTAGAGTCCAAGTTGGGATGATCTTGGTTGACCCCTCCAGCACAACATGTGTGAGGATCGTTGTATACTGTTAGTTCTCATCTGTTGTTTTTCCTCTTCCTCTTCGATACGCGAACCATCCAATTGCATCCGTTTTCACGCTGGGCACAGTAGCATACATATTTTTCGGTCGTGGAGCGGTCTACTCTGGACTGAACATAATTACGGATATTGTAATTTTTGATAGCCATCATCGCTTCTTCTTTGCTTGAAAACTCCATGCCTAAAGATAACTCACCATTATTTATTGATGAGTAATACCCATAGTCACCGAGATGAGGCATATCCGCAAATTCTGGCCCGTACATTGCACCATAATCAGCTTCATACATGTGTGCAGGAGGGTCAGTTTGTGCCACATTTCCTGGAACTTCATCATCATCGGAGTTGAATTTCGGTGATTCTGGGTGAATGAATAGTCCAGTCTCAGCGCCATCCGCACCAGCTCACGAAGCGATTCTTCTGGTGGAGATGATGATTCCTCTATGCTCTCCACATTTAGGTCGTAGAACCTACTACTTGCACGTCTTCCCTTTGAAATGGAAGGCATATCAATATTGAGATCGAAAAAGCTCGCAGTCGAATGCCTCACCCTAGAGCTTGAAGCCATCGCGTCAAATGGAAACTGCACAGATGGTTGCGTCGATGGCATCTCCATATTAAGGTCAAAGGGATTTACAGATGAATGAGCGATTCTTCTGGTGGAGATGATGATTCCTCTATGCTCTCCACATTTAGGTCGTAGAACCTACTACTTGCACGTCTTCCCTTTGAAATGGAAGCATATCAATATTGAGATCGAAAAAGCTCGCAGTCGAATGCCTCACCCTAGAGCGTTGAAGCCATCGCGTCAAATGAAACTGCACAGATGGTTGCGTCGATGGCATCTCCATATTAAGGTCAAAGGGATTTACAGATGAATGCCTTCCCCTTGAACTGGATGCGATGTTGTCATACAGATTGTTCGTCGACCTACCTCGGTATATTTTGTAAGGAGTTACGGATGAATGTCTCCCCATTATGGCATTAAAATCATTACACATTACTGTCGTTGGGCTGTCAACTTGATCAACTTGTTCAGTCAGCCCATAGTGGGAGCTTAATGATTGACCTCGAACAGCACGCACTTGAACAAAATATGCATACATCTCAATAGCGGCGTCTGAATAATTACTTTGAGCTTCAACCATCATTTCAACATTATCATTGTTCGAAAGTTCGAACGCTGTATAAGTTAATGACAACAATAATGTTGGAAATCTATATTGCAACGACGACACTCTTCTACTACTTCCAACATGAATCTTCCTCGAAATCTTCGTTATCAGCTCATCAAGAGTTATGTTTCTCTTGAATGATATTTTAACGCGCTCATTTGATACGAAAGCAATGCCAGTTTCATCTTCTCGAATTTCACCATCATAATAAACAATAGCTGAAAATCGCGCCATTATTTGAGTTTAAAAGTGCAACACTATTATATCTGTAAAAAAAATAAATGAAACAAACTTGATTTAATAAATTATATATGAACGAACATATAACACAATAAAATTTTTACACATCAACGTAAATAAATTAAATAATATAATTTAATATTATTACCTGCACCGCAAAACTATTTCGACGTATGTTCCCGCATTCCAATTTTACAAACACAAAAATTAATTGAAAATAATTAATATAATATTTTTTTCAAATAATCATAATAAACAATAAATATATTAAAAAATTATAACAAAATTACCTTATAACGAAAAATCACACGAACTTCTAAATAAAATATGAGAAGATTGCCAGAATTATTGACTCGTTGACGGAATTGTTGTATTAATTTATAAGTTGAGAGGAGAGATGTGAGAAACTTAACCGGCGGATAATGGTATTTATAGCGAGGAAAGTTATACAAAACGCGATACCTGCCCCGCGCTATACCCCTACGTGGCGTATAGCGCGCTGCAGGGGCCGCACTATACCCACGTGTATGCCAGATCACCGTATAGCGCGGTGCAGGGGGCGCGCTATACCCTACGTGGCGCCAAATCATCGTATAGCACGGTACAGAGGGCGCGATTTACTACTAAGGGTGTTAGATCAAGAAATATAATATGACCGGTGTTAGATCAAAAAATATACTATTCACCGGTGATATATCGGGAAAATCACCATTTTCACATGTACTAAGGCTTAAGAGTGGCAAATAATAGTTAGAGGTGTGGCTCTAAAGCTATTTTTTGGTAAATTACACGAATGGTAACTAAAATTTGAGTAAGTTTTCATTTTTCACATTGAACTTTCAAAAGTTACAAATTGATCACTAACATTATTGATTTGTAACGAAATAGTCACTTGACTTTAACAGCCATCAAATGCCACGCTGGAGAACCTGTTTGACTCCTTGGGGGCTTCAACTAATTGCAACAGCAACTGCGTCAAAGCTCCTCCCATGAACACAACCTTCACCACTGCTTTCACTCCATTTGGATTCTTTATCAGCGCCTCTTCGTTCTCTCGTTTCCCAGCACTTGCTCTATTCTCGTCGTTGTCTTTCCTGCCAAGCTTCTCTCCTTCATTTCCGAGTTCCAAATATACGTCACCATTCCATCAATTAAAAATTAGAAATCTCTGGTCAAAATTCTCCCAGTTTGTTGTTACTTTTACAACATTCTAATTGTCGCTAAAAGGATTGGAATGTCTAGTCTTTCATTTGTCGAGAGTGTCGTGGAAGTCTTGGGAGAATCCAGGGCCTACTATTTCGAAAACCAGTTTCAAAAGCAAAGGTAAGAAACCCATTTCGATAAAAAAAATGTGAAAAAATAGAACAGAAAAGCGTAGATCAAATGGAAATGGGAGAAAGGTTTCAACAACAGCAAACTGAAAACGAATCTAAAATGGAAAATATGAACAGATGGAAAATATGAACAGATGGAATTCATGAACAGATGGAAAAATCCACCAGTTTCAAGATTCGAAGTCATTTAACTCAACTTGTCTGCATATTGCATTTTGGATTTAAGCTAGACTAATATTTTTCATATGGAATTCATGAACAGATGGAAAAATAAAGTTAAGTAGTAGGGTTTAAGATCATCCAAATCCAATGCAGTAGAAACAGGCGGATCTCTATTCAGAAAGGCATGTTCAAGTTCGACTTAACGAAGGAGGAAGCTCAGATTCAGACACTCAAATTCCGAGAGCAGCCCTAAAGATCATACTTCTCCTTCTTCGCAGCAACTTGGTGGGTCTGCGTACCCAAAACCCTAACGGGCTAACACCCAAAACATGAGTAAGAGTAGCTATAACTTCTCATTCTTTCTCTTACTGGGCATCTTCTAAAGTTTTTCTAGATTCGAAAGGTCTGGTCGAATCGATTACGAATTGGTTTTGTACTTTTGTTAAAGTCGAGTGAAGCGGTGAAGAAGAAGAGAAAAAAAAACCTGAAGCAGAGAAGCTTTCCGTTTTAAAGTTGATGGGTTTTGATTGGTTATTCTGACTTGGTTTCGAGGACGGTTATGTTGGGTTTTCCTTCAACGATTCCTCGGTTTCAAAGGGTTTGTTAAAGAAAGCCCTTGAGTTAAGCCACGAAGAAGAAGAAAACAATATTGATGGGTTTTGACAGGTTCTTTTGACAGTTGGAAAGCCAAATTAACTGACTTAACATTCCAAATCAGCATTTCGTTATCTTGCTAACGTTAGTTAAGTCAACTAACGTCGATGGATTATTTTGTAACAAATTGATAATAATAATGATTAATTTGTAACTTTTGAAAGTTCAGTGAAAAAATTAAAACTTAATCAAACTTTAATGATCATTCAGATTGTTTACCCTTCTTTATAATGTTAAAATTTCTCTCTTCATATTTTATGTTTGATAAAATAATTATTTTAGTTTCTATTTTTTGAAGTATTTTAGCTTCCATCGTTTCATTTTGAGACAAAATGTTTTTAGTTAGACGAAAGTCATTAAGTCGTTAATGTGAGATTGCCATGTGTTTAAAGTTATGATGTAAAATATATCACGTGTTGAAATGATGATATAATACATATTATATATCGGAAGTAATGACATAAAATACATCACATGTCAAAAGTTACTATGTGATACATGCCATGTATCAAGGTATTGACTCCTAAAAGAAATAGAAAGTGATTATGCGTACATTTGGTGGCCCAATAAAAGCAGTGGCGGATGCAAATTTTACTATGAGTGTTGGAATTTAAATTTTTTTATTTTAGTTGTTATTTTTACTATGAGTACTCACCCTAAAATTTTATTTATGTTAATTTCATACGAAAAATTTTAATAATTAATGTGTATATCAACTATATAGTAAGTAGTAGGATCAAATTTTGAAGGCAATTTATAAAATAGAAAGTGATAGAATGAACTTTCAAAGAATGGTTTAAGTACAATTTTACCTCTCTTCCAACATTACAAATCGACCTCAGAAAAAAAAGAATGAAACAAATTCTTACAATTATGTTGCTAACATGGTTCTTGATGTAGTAGCGCTCCCGCTCATCATCATCGAACTATCCAAACCAGCAGTCCATGTTCGAAGAGCCTTAAGTAGTGTCGCCGCCTTCCGTCGAGCTCTCGTTGTTCCTGTCCCCATCACTTCCCATATAATCCTTTCGATTGACGGAATTTTTCCTAGCTCTGCCATAATCTCTGATCCCCCTTTTCTACAAATTATGACTAAAGCAGCAGCCGCCCTTTCTCTCATAGTATTTGAACCTTCCCTCAAAATTATGCCTAATTTCTTTATTAAATCATAGGAGGCTGCAATTCCCGCTGATCCACCTCTCTTCACCACCGCCTCGAGTATCGTCACTGCCTCTTCCGGCATCAGGTTGATGACTCCGCTCACGAGCTCAACCACTCCTCCCTCCACTAACCTCCCAACGGTCTCCCTATCTCCCGCCAAATTCAAAATTGTCACGAGTGCATCCCTTTTGGTGTTTGTGGGCCCCTGTTTCGCCAAATCCATCAATCCTTTGATGACGCGTGTCCTCCTCCCTAGCCTTCTCCTGTACGCGTGCATATCTGATAAGCTGAAAATTGTAGCGGCTGCATTTCCTTTGGCTTCCCACGTCGCACCCGAACGTAATACCTCGATAACACCGTTTAAAGCTCCGTCAGTTTCCATGATCTTCGTTTTGTTTACTTCTAGGATGGACAGATTAAGAATCGTTGTAACGGCGTTCACTTCGAGGTTTGGGTGCTCGGAGCCTACACCCGGAGCTAAATATCGGACAAGGATTGGTATGGCGCCAGCTTCGGCAATTGAGGCTCGGGTATCCGAATCAGTTTTAGCGAGGGCACGAAGCTCATAAATGACAGCGTTAGCCGTCTCCATGGACGGGGAACCCGACAGTTTGTTGACCAAAAAGGACACCGTCATTTTCGTAGATTCAAAGGCGGCTCTAACGCCGTTAGCCTTATTGTTATTTCCCGCCGTTTCAAACGGGAGCCTTTGTTGACGGCACCACGTGGCAATAAGATTCATCAAAGCACGATTAGGGATGAGGTTCGTGTGGGCCAGAGTCTGACCTGTCTTTGGACACGTGTTGTGTCCAGATTCAATCCATTGATTAATCGACTCCCGATCGTACGTCTGTCCGGAAGCCACGACTACTGGGTCCCGCATCAACTCTAAACTCACCGGGCACAGGAGATCTACTGGAACAGTAATATCTGACATCGATTTTCGTCGGCGATAGCCTGGTTTCTCCGTCGTTGAAGATTCAAATAGAACACATTTAGCGTAACGAACGAGTCCGATCAAAGAAACAATCTCCGATTTGGATTTTTCATCGCTTTTGTTCTGGATTTCTTGTTGGAGACTCGAAATTTCTTCTCTACAAGTTGAATAATCGATTAATCCTAAATCCTCCACGATCCGTTTGAGCTTTAAATGATCCGGGACGATCTCTTTCTTGATGAGATCGAGCAAAGCTAAAACGTCTCGCCTGAGAGAATCGTCTCTGAGATCTACCGATGGTTTTGATTTGGAGCACTGTTTTCTAACCAAAACGACGAGTTCTTCCACGTCTTGACTCAGATCAAATTCTTCGACAGGGAAAATGTCGAGGACAGTTGATAATTCGAGGGTGAGCTCATGGAAACTGCTGGCCAAATGTGAGTTTTGCATGAGCATCCACATCTTGCTTCCATTGGAACAATCTTCGATCAAAGCTTTTATTCTCTGTAAAACAATGTACATCTCTTCGAAGCAGAGGAGTGTTGAAGGAGAGAAGAAGACGTTAGAAACTGAATCTCGAAGAAGCTCTTCGAATAAGATTGCAAGAAGCTTGGACGTGTTTATTATGGAAAGAGACTTTCGAATGAGAAGACATTGAAGAGGTTTAAGGGTCGAGATTTCCTGAGACAGAGAAAGAAGCGAATTGATCAGGTTTAAGTCTGCTAATGTCGGAGATGGTGACGGCCGCCGCTTTCTTGGCGGGAGAACTCTAGGAGAAACGGCCATGGATGACGGAATATAAACAGAAAGAACTCTTGCGGAATGATTGTGTGTAACAGAGAAATGTGAGCTAATGGAAGAGGAAATTTGGTAGCTTTATTGTCAAATATTTGAATTGAAGAAGAAGATATAGCCAGCCGTTGATAACAGGTAGAACAGGTTGGCCAGTTGCATTTCAACTTTTCTGCATGGCCCATGTAGTATTTATTTACAAATTTATATTTTCAAATTAAGCGGTAGTATGCATTTGAATTTATTTATTTATTTCTGAGTAATGCAACATACATTGTATGTAAATGAAAATCCAGATCTTCAAATTTATGTTACCAAAAATTAATATTTTGAATTATGCTAATGCGTAGGCCCTTGACTGGGTATGAAGAACTGTCGAATTTAGATAAACTTTCTTGGTCTAATTTTGGACAAGTCCCCCTTTGATTTTTTCAACACTTTAATTCCACGCCCCCAATACTGTTTTGGGATTGTAATTTTATTTTTATATTAAACTCAGTCATGCGATGTATTTAGTCGTGATTTTGAGGTTCAAAGTAAATGTTCCAATTATTTTACTAAATAAATCAGAATGGAATAGCCAAGAACAAAATAAGAATGGCGACGGATAGTACACCCGGCGGCATTTTGCAATTTTAGGCTAACATTTCTCAACCACTCATTACTCTAATTTAATATTAATCGACGTCAAAATCAATCAAATCACTTCAATAATAAAAAAAATATTATTTATCCGAAAAATTTTGAATTTAAATAATAATATCGACAGGATGTATGTAAGGGATGATTAAAAAATATTTTAAATATATATTATCTTATAATTATTATATATAATTTTAAAAATATTAATTGATTTCAGAATTAATTACTCTAATTTAATATTAATTGATACCTAATACAAAAGTTTAAAAAATATATTGTTACAAGTTAGAACGATAATAATTAACTCGTTTATTTATTATTTTAAAATTTTAAATGGGTGGAAATTAAAGAAATGTTACGTGCGAGGAAAAGTAAATTCCAAGATGCATGCATGAAGGACGAAGTTGCATATCCCCGCCGCAATTAGAATAAATCAAAGTCAAATTTGGAGTTTGCCTTAATTATATTCATTACACTACAGTAGGAAATAATAATATTTAAATTATATAATGTCTAATGAGAAATATGTTACCGCTGACAAAATTAGTCGCAAAATGACGGCAGAAAGCGTCAAATATTATTGATTTGAATATGCAATTATTTGCTAAAAAAAGCAATTATTGAGGATTTCAAGCCTGAAATAGATTCAAAGGTGGTTTTATTATATAAATACATTATTTTTTAAAACTATTTATGAAAAATATTATTCTCTTAAAAGATTATTTATGAAAATGACACCTATTTTTATCTCAAGCAGCATATAACTGATTTTTCAGGAAATTAATATAAAATCGATAAAATTTTATTTAAAAGTATGAAGTATTAAATGTTACGACTTTTTTAAGACCGTACAGTGAGATTAGTTTTGAGGTATGTTGTTCGTCTTCTTGAAATAATGTTTCTCATTCTTTAAATTATCGAACAAACATTTCAAATCCCGTAAATATAAAAAAACCTCTAAACATCTAAAAAAATAGTAGATTTTTTTGTTTAATTTTATCGATTTTGGGTGGATTTCATAGAAAATTAATTATTTGAGAAGAAATATGAGTGAAATGTGAAAGTTTCGATACCGATTTTGCCACCACATATAATCGGTGATGAGTGATGATTGGATGTCTACGACATCGTTTTTGACACCAAATAATTGCACCAAAAATGACATTGTTTTGGTGTGGTAGACCATGTCAGTAATTATTAGTCATATTATTATTTTGTTATTGACTTAACGACACAATAACATAATTAAATTTAAAACTAAAATTCAATGTTATAATTAGTAAAATTAAAAGTTTAATAGTATGATTTATGAACGAGTCATTGAACAAAGATCAATGGTATACGGTGTAATTTACCTTTATTTTATGAATCACTTTGGCTCTGGGGTCTGACGTATCACCAAAATGAAAGTTTGACAGTTATAAATTCATTCATAGAAAAATATTATTGAATAATGGTTTAATATATTTTTGTCGCGACCGTCTTTAGGATGGGTCCGGAATTGGGTTTCGACTTAAATAAAACACGTTAGAGTCGCCACCGATCATTTAAAAATATTTAGGTTGATCGGACACCATCTTACCTGGTCTGCGTTTTACTAGAAATATGTCAGATTGGAGAGTCAGTTACAGTTAAGGAAGGATTAGCACCCTTGAATTGCCCTTTTAGTACCATTTTAATTTGTCGGTTGTCTTAATTGCGAAAATTAAAATTTAAAGACTTGATTGGAATTAATTACATTTGATCGATTGAAATTATCTCTAAAAAGTTGAAAACGTTAGATTATAAAATAAAAGAAATATCAAATAAAAATTAAATTAAAAAATAAATCAAAGAAGAAAATATTAAATTTTAAAAAAATGTTATATAAAAAATGTTAAAAGAAAAAATAAAATAAATGAAGAAAATATTAAATTTCAGAAAAGAAAAATAATAAAAATGTTAAAAAAATAAAATAAAACAAAATAAAATAAAAAATGTAACACCCCCAACCCGTACCCGACCCGGATACGAGTCCGACGTGTCACATTGACTTTTCAAATCTTGACTCTTAAGAAAAATCCCGGGAAATTTAAAACTTTATTTAAAACAAAATACAGACTTGATCAGAGTGCTCGTACTTAATGACTTATTACATGCCAACACTTTATACATAACCAAACATACTTTGTCAAATACTTCTCTGATCTTTTAGTAGTGATACTGTCTTTGCCACTTCTATTCTTTCACTTCTCGTTTCTTGGTACCTACGTGTAAATCACTTACACGCTAAGTCATAGACTTAGTGAGGCATATAAACATATAATATAACCATATATCATTTCATATACAAAAGACATACATATGCAAACACTATCAATAATCCTTTCCACTTACCATATACTCATCATATAACACATATATCACTATACCCAGAAACACACATAACATCATATAATTCATGTATGTGCATTCATATCATTGAATCATGACATATCAATATGTATGAATCTATTGTATGATAACAATATACAATCAGGTCATGCACACATGCAACTTACCTTCTTGTATCACTTTCACTTTCATTTGTCTTTCAATTTCATTGCTCATGTATATTATTGAGAATAGAGGTATGTGAGTACATTGAGGTTGTGCACTAATGCTGTCACCACAGCTCGTATAAATTCCCTCATGGGGCACCGAACATTCGTTCAGTATTCGTCCCGAAGGACCTGTCCAGAGGTTACAAAGAACCCCGGTAACTATCCAGAGGTCATAAAGATCCTCGGCAACTATCCATATGTTCCTTTCAACATAGGTAAACCCTCGACTCTTGGCATGCCAACTATACCTATAGCTCTCGTATCATACTATGAGCATTTATTTATACATTTCGTATCACTTGTTCTTTCTCTTCTGTCACATACCACATGTATGTGTAACCATATATCTCATCATATCACATGTATTATATACATGTATTCACGTAAATCATTTCATATAATTCATATCACATATCACATGTGCATATAAGCTTATAGCTTCTTTCACATATACATGTAGTCACATAGCTTTCTTTCATGTAACCATGCATGTCATGTCAAATAACATATATCATATGTTGCATTTTCACTTAAGCATATAAATCATATAACATAGCATCCATCTATTTCTATGTATTAATGCATACATGGTAATCACATAACAATTTAGAAGTTACTTCTTAACATAGTAACTCCATCACTGGCTCATCACAAGCCAATGTTAATTCAATAAAATAAGTACAAAATAAATTGCACTCACCTTAGCTTTGCTTTGATTCGATTCTAATTCCTCAATTGTCCCGAAACGGATCACTTTCTATCTCTACATAACAATACACAGATTCATATCAATATTCCAATTGATATATTCTAAACTGTCACTTCTTAGGCTAAGAGAAAAGCCAATTTCCTCTTTTAATGAAGGTATGCATCGATGCACTACTTGTGCATCGATGCATAAAATGCATTCGATGTTTCATTAATAACGGGATGCATCGATGCACTACTTATGCATCGATGCACGAATTACATTCGATGTTTTTATTTTAAAAGGATGCATCGATGCATTAGCGATGCATCGATGCATCAAAGGCATTCGATGTTCTTCTTTTAAAGGAATGCATCGATGCACTTATGAATGTGCATCGATGCACCTTGTCCAGAAATTGTATTTCAAGCCCGAAATTCATCAATTCTTCATTCAATTCTTCTATTTTAATCCTCTATCATGTCTTTAAACTCAACTATCATTATTGAAACCAACTTATGACCATATAAATCATATTTATCTTCCATTTTCATCAAGATTCTTAAAATTAAGAATCTTACTAAACTTTCAAATTTGTTATAAATCTTTTCTAACTTCATAAATCTCTTATTCTTATTGATGACAAGTCAAATTCCATCTTAAAAATCTCTTATTAACTCTTTTCCAGAATTTCCTTTAAAAACTCATTTTCTTTAATCTTTCATAACTTCTTTATCTTTCAATCTTAAGATAACTTAATCTTTCCTTAAGCTTAGTTATTATCTAATGATCAAACCCAACCATAAATTTAGTAAATAACCAACTAACAAAGAAACTCACCTTTGCAAGCTTGACTCTTCACGTTTGAGAGAAGATGAAGATGAAGAAGATAAGTCTAAAACTTATCTCTTCAATCATACATCTCATGTATTATAATACCCATTTATTAATATTTAATATTATCTTTGTTCAATTACCATTTTGCCATTCATCTACTTTAATAATTACTAACAACTTTTAGGAATTATTTCCAAATAAATCATTGAATTATTCCATTCTTCTACTTAATTCATCAAATTCTTAAACTTTACAATTTAGTCACTAACTCCTAGTTTGGGATGTTACAATTCTCCCCTCCTTAAGAAAATTCATCCTCGAATTTTCATTTTATAACAATATGAAGCAATCCT